GCCTACTGACTTAGGCCACTGTCCAAGAGGCTAAGCAGCCCAGCAGGCTTCTCACCTGAACTCCCCATATCAGAGCGATCCCAGGTCCAGTCTGGTCCTGTCCTGTCATTTCATCTGCCAGGGGACGGGGGTGACAGCAGGAAATCCTCATGGGAGGCTGCCAGGGCTGCTTTTGTGAAGATCAAGCTGGAAACGGCACTGGAGCTGGGGGACGAAGTACTTCCTTCACCATCCGTGTCTGGCTCTGAAGGCCTGGGTGCAAGTCTGGGGTAAACACCGGCCTTTTACTAACACAGTCAATACTGCCCAAGAACGCTCTTCCAACAACGGGCCTGCAGCTGTAAGCTGAACCCAGAGGATGAAGGCCCTGGGGCAGCCTGGTCTCTCCCCTTCCTCTTTAAAAAGCCCCAGAGAATAGCAAATGACTTTGGGAGCCCCAGTGGGGCTTTCTGGAGTGCTCCAATGGACACAGATGGTGTCCACGGCCGGTCTGATGACAGGCATCAGTACTGCTTGATGGCAGCTCCGGTCCTGGAAAGATCCTGGGACTGAGACATGCCTCAGTGTCCCCATCTGTAATGTTCAATAGCTCCCCTGCTGCTCCGACAGATGATGGGGGTCTCTCTGGGCCTGGCCAGCCCCTCAGGCAGCTGAAGGTGGAGCTGGGAAGCCCAGGTCTGAATCCCACCTCAGGCACTTGGGTCGAAGCCTGGGTGTTTCCTTCCCTGTGAAAGCCAAGGGCCCTTCTAGTACAAAATCAATGCTTCGATGGTCCTGGGGCCGAGGGCTGAGCCGGATGGGAATTCTGCCTCAGACGATGACCAGCTGGGTGACCCCATAGGTCGCTGGGGCCTCTGCCCCTCCTCAGGTTCCTTCCAGCTCTTGGCTATATACGATCCTATGGACACTGGCTGGAGTTCCAAATTCAATTACACTTTAAAAAATAATGTAAGCCCTTTGTAACTGCTTTGTACACAGTGAGTGATTAGCAAATGCTTTTTTCATTCAATGTTTGAGGGCAGAGACTATCTTACTTTACTATTTGTATCCCTAATGTTTTGTATACAGCAAGCAATTAATAAATGCCCCCCCCCCCCATGTAAGCTATTTAGGGGCAGGAACAGTTTCATTTTTGTCTGTATCTGCCTTTGGGACAATCTCTTTCCCTCTCAGTCTGTTATATAGAAGGAGGTGGATGAACTAAGTGGGCTCCCACATAGACACTGATAAATTATATTTATGACCCAGAAGCGAGGGGAGAAGGTGGAGGGGAGAAAGTAGACCCCAGCCCCGGGTCGCCCTTCCAAGAGGAGCCAGCATGCTTGCTGGGAGCAGGCAGAATGGGGCACGGCCAGAATAGATGGGCTGGTGACCCCAGGCTCAGATTCCTTCCGGTTCACGACTGTGTAGGATCCTAAGATAGATATGAGCTGGAGTTCCACATTGGGGCCCAGTATTTGGTGTCAGAGAACTGGGGAGGACCCCAGCTGTACACCACGGGACTCTGGCTGGATCCCTTTAGTCGATGAAACCAGGAAAATCCTCAACCTCAAATTAGGTCCAGGCCAGTGGACTGAACTCTGAATCAAGTGAAAAGCCTTCTATCCTCAGTACCGAAGAGTCAGGGATGCTTGAGGCTGAACGGTGAACTTCCAGTACTAAAAACTCTCGGAAAGTGTTGCCAAGTTCAATACCGGGTGGGGATCCCGTCTGGGCCTGTGCCGGGGCCTGGAAGGAGCGGGCATTTGTCTGCCCAACGGTGACCTCTGGTGGGAGAGCCGGTCACCGGGCGCTGGGCCTGGAGGCCGGCCTCAGGGACCATCTACTGTGCGTGGGCAGAGTGCTTTACAATTTATAAAACTATTGCTCAACTTGATGTCACAATCCACGCGGCCTTTAACTGTACTCCCCCACTGACATCAAAAAACCCCAAAACCCAACCCACCACAAGGGGATAAAAACCGCCCCAGGAAGGTGTGTGATCTCACCTCCACTGTGGCAGGTCTCAGATCTAGAACTGCAGGGGCACTAGAGACCACGTCCAACCCTCTTATTATTTTATAGATGAGGGCCAGCCCGGGGTCACAGAGTCAGTAATCAACAGAGGTGGGGCTCAAACAGGTGTTCCTGGCTCCAAGATCAGTTTTCTATTCTCAAAAAACCCCCCCAAAAAAACAAACCACCACCACCAAAAAAAAAAAAAAAACCACAGAGACTGGGATTCGGGGATAAAATGTTTATTGTACCAAGCTTCTAATCATATGCCCATCTACAAGAGGCAAACAAATACAATCCATGTAAAAGTAAATGATGGTTAGTAAGCTTAGTAATGGAAAACATTCTTTCCGTCCATGGGCACCTCACTATAGCACCATCTCCTTTCCCCATCACCCGCCTGGTCCACACAACGGGACCATGACAGCTGCAAGACCAGTTTATAAACTAGGTCCTTCTTTCATCCCACTCTTAGATGGGAAATCTGAGGTGGACACTGGGTCCGTGCTGCTGTCAGCCACGCTTAGCAAGGCACCCGACGTGGTCTGCCCATTCACAAGTGGGCATCCCCCAGTTAGTAGGAAGCGGTAACACAAGTCAACGTCAGACCAAAGGTCACAGGGGGTCAGCAGATGGATACAACCAGTGGAACAATGAATAGAATCGCCAGGGCGCAAAATTCTTAAAGAATCTGCCCCTTTCCATATTGCGTGGCTGTTGTATATGTCTAAGGTCTAAATGGACTTTATTCAGAAGGAGTGGTACCAGGGCCTGTCTAAAGAAAAAAAATACTCAAGTATAAAACCCAGAGTAAGAGAGACTTATGCAGAGGAGAATCCACAAAACCCCAACCGCCCCCCACAATTAAGCTGCAACAGGAGACCCCCTGATCAGTGGACAGCCCTTTAGGGACCTTAAAATGCAACTTTTTTGTATGAATGTACAAACTTTTAAAAGGCTTCCCACCAGTCAAGTGGTTTGAAGTCAATGAAGAGAATAATAGCAGGAAAACGGGTCCAATTTGGGGCATTTTATGTGCTTTTCACAGGTGTCCATGTTTCTGATTCTAAAATGCCCAGTGATATCTGGGATGGAGTTTTTTAAAAACCCATAAAACATTCATCTACAATCATTTTCAGCAATAGCAAAAATAAAGAACAAATGTTTCTCAGAAAGTGATTGAGCAGACCCTGAATGCCTGGAGACATTCACCTGTTCCCTTACTATTTGTCAGGTGCTAGAGGGTGGGCAAAAGAAATGAGTCAAACCCCCTGGCTGAACCCAGGCCCATTCAAATCCCAGAATGAAAAAAAACCACATGATACATAATGTGCGCATTAGCGAGGCTGATTTCTCCTAGGTTCTGTTGGCTTCTGGAGTCACCTTAATGCATCATAAAGAATTTGTGGGAGATCTGAGCGGATAGTGATGGCCACCACAATGCCCAGTCTCTCACAGGGACCAAGGAGGAGGCTAACAAGCCAGTTCAAGATTGCCATGAGCCCAGAGCAAGCTTTCTGAAATGAAGACAGGCTTACACTGGTAGATGGGTCTGTCTTAATGTGCGTGATTGGCCACCCCCGGGTCTCTGGCGAACCCTCGGACTTTGTCTACCCCCTTGGCCCTCATCCCTGGCTGGCAGAGCGACTGAGCTGAGGATGTGGAAAAGGGAAAAAGCCAAGGTCATCTTCTTAGGCCCTCCCTGACCTGCCATGGCCAGGTCATCTTCAGAGAATCATGGTTCCCTGGTGATGGAGGCCCAAAGGTCAGGGCTTTTCATCCAGGTTTCTCCTCCCACTTCAATCTTGCTAAAAATCATACCTGTAGTGTTTTCACAGCTTTGCAAACAGAGACACACAGGATGGCTAGACTACTGATGAGGCCAAGGAGGAGAGAAGTGGCCTTGAATAGCAGGCATCATACAGGCCTGATTCTGCACCAGGCCTCCAAGATGGCGGTACTGAAACCTTTGGAAAGCCAGGCACACCAAGGGGGCCAGGCCATGGAAGCCTGCAGATGGCTTGGCCCAGAGATGCTGAAGGCTAGTGAGCTGTAGCAGGCACAAGAAGAGATGCTATTTACACCAAGCGTCTTATTGGGTGGCAACACAGAGATGGGAAAGGCCCGAAGCAGACTTAGAAAACTATTCTGGAAGCGGCGGTGGGTGGGAGGCATGCAGTTTTCTCAACGTTGCTCTGAAAATTCTAAGCCTAAGCAACCTGGCAGAAGAGGCCTCTGGCCCCACACCAGCCCACTGCCACTGCCATTGGACTTCCAATGAAAGAGCCAACCAAGATGATCATAACAATGGAGGTGGCATAACCTGATTTAAAATGTCATTTAAAAAAAAAAAAACACATCCAACAGTATTACTAAAAAACAATGCTGGCTTTGTTATTGGGCTGTAAGCTCCTTGGATGCAGGGACTGTTTTTGTGCCTTTCTTTGTAACTGCCTCCCTCCCACCCTCACCCCATGGCACTTAACAGAGTACCTGGCACACAGTAGGTGCTTAATAAATGCTTGCCGATTTGACTTGACTGCACAAGGTAAAATTCTCATTGTATATCTGGAGCATTGAACAGATGATAAATGTTATTCCTTCTTTTCCACCCACCACAATAATGCTGGTTAATTGTCTTTTAAAAACAAAATTGCCCTCCACCCAAAGACCTAATATTAATGAGTTTAATTTAAAAACAAACAACAAGAAACAAGACAGTCCCAATCTCCCAAGCTACCACGACGGAGTAATTCCAAAAAACGGATCCAAAAATCCACAGGAGTGGGTTTGAGGTGCATGCACATGCACACACACAGAAGACAAACACGCACACAGACACACACGCAGGGAGAGCTGTGCAACATTTGCATGATGGTGTTTTAAACATCCACATCTCGGCCAATGAAATGAGTCACAAATCCATCCACCCATCCTCCTCCACCTGGGCTAGAAAAGAATGAACCTGGAGAAATCCACCAACATTCACGTTTGGAGTAAAATGTCAGGCAAGGAGCGTCTGGCCTTCACCGTCACTGCTGCCGCAGCCTGGGGGTCGCTTGGAAAGGCAGAGGCCACCCGGCACATGGCGATGTCGTCCGTTAGATGTGCTCCGGGTGGCTCTGAAGGCAGGAAAGCATCTCCTGGACTGGTCGACCTTCGTAGCAGATCTGATAGACGGCCGTAAACAAGGGAAACCTGGAGGGAGAGGAGAAGGGGACGCGGTAAGACAGGCCATCTAGGCTAATGCTTGCATGGCGCCCAAAAAAGTCACTCTGCCTCCCAAGCCTTCCTTTACACCTGTTTGTTCCCTTCAGAACCAAGAATTCTCCTGCCGCTGGTCACTCCAAAGCATGCACTAACACGCCCACATGACAGGCACGGAGCGAGGGGCTCGGCACAGGAAGGCTCGGCCCTCCAGCTGACTTCACGGGTAAGCCAGCGTTCCGAGTTCAGGTGCTTTTCAGCATCTTCATTTACATTGTTAGCCGTGGCATCAACAGGTCCCCTGGTTCTGATTTCTTTGCTCTGCATCAACTCATCCAAGTCTTCCCCAATCTTCTCTGAATTCCTCACAGGAAAATCCCACAATCTCTTCAGTTATTCCCAGTTTGTTTCACTTATCAACATGACCACCCAGCTACAGACTGCTGGAAGAAGCAACTTAGGATCCCACTGCTACTTGAATTGATCAGAAAAAGCACCAAAGCAGGGGCAGGGAACCTGCGGCCTCCAGGCCAACTGTGGCCCTCTAGGTCCTCAGGTGAGGCCCTAGGACTGAATCCAAACGTCACAGGACAAATCCCCTTCATAAAGGATTTGTTCTGTAAAATCTGGACTCAGCCAAAAGGCCACACCCGAGCCACTAGGGGCCACATGTGGCCTCAAGGCCGCAGGTTCCCCGCCCCTGCACCAAAGCAAAGGATTAAGTTTTATTTTGCCCCAACTCCGCACCAGTGAATAAAGTCACACGAGGCAAGTGCTGGAGAGAGAGGAATGAATGGGACACCTGCAGCAAAGCCCACGGCCAGGAAAGGCCTGAGCCACTCCAGCCAAAAGGGATGCTGTTTTGGACCCCAGGAAAGGTCAGGGACAGAGCGCCGTCAGGAGACAGACCCGGCCGTCTGCAGACTCTAACAGGCTTCTCTGGGAAGCAGGTGAGAGGCTAGCCTGGCGACGACCCGGCCACACCAACTGACCAGAGCCAGCGAGGCAGGGGTGCTCTCTTCCTACACAATCTCAAGATGGAAGTCATAGGTTATACTGAAAACGGGTCACCGATCAATCAAGCAACAAGCATCTATTCAGTGCCTGCTATGAGCTAGGCAGAATGCTAAGGTGTAGCACCTCACAAAGGTGAGACTGAGACTAGAAGGGAGGATGGAGCTCTTAGCGGAGAGCCGGAATATGATCCCAGGTCATTCTGGGTGGGAGCGCGCCAGCGGCTGGGGGAGGCGGGAGGGAAGGGGACCGCTGTGTGACAGATGACCCTGACGTCATGCAACCTGGGGATTTCCCCAGCCCCTCGACTTCAGCTAAGTTCACTGTTGTTACGAAAAATGACATAAAACTCTTAGCCTGGATGTGTGGCTTGGTTTCTTAAAATTTTGATAACTGTAATTCAATTTAGTTGTTTTCCTTTGGAATCTTATGTATTTTATTTAATACATTTACAGACTGCTCTGAGAAGGGGCCCCTAGGTGTCCTTGGTCTCCAATACAAAAAGGACCCTTCCTGGCCTTCCTCCTCCTCTCGATCTCGATAAGAAGAGGGTTTGAGTCACCTCTTTGACACGCTGGGTTGTTGTGGATAACAGGGACAAGAAGGGAATCTGCAAATTCACTTTGCCATCCTAGCCCCATGTTACTGAAAGACGTCAGGAGCCTTGCTTCTTAAAGAGAGCGCCATGGTGCGGCAGAGCCCCCCTGGACTCATGAAATTACTGGTTAGAAGATAAGGCAGTGACGCCCACGGCTCAAAGAATGTCTAAACAGCCTGCCGATGAATGTCACGGAGCATGACTGTGCTCTGAGAAACGATGAGTGAAATGGATGCAGAGAAGCAAAGGGAGACCTGCACGGACAGATGCAAAGCGAAGACGGAAGAATCAGGAAGAGCACTGACAACGGTGCCGATGGAAACAACAGAGACTGAAGATACACACACACGAGAGAGAGAGAGAGAGAGAGAGAGAGAGAGAGAGAGAGAGAGAGAGGGAGAGAGAGTTCCTCTCTCCCCGCTGTCTCCCTGGCTGGGCTGGAAGCTCCTTGGGGACAGGGGCTCTGTTCTGCCTTTCTCCCTCTCACTGGCATCAGTGATCACTCCCTATCACTTAATAAACGCTCACTGAGAACAACGTGCTTCTATGAAAAGGTGACGTAGGTGCTGAGAGCTCACGATGACCAAACGTGGCCTCGAAGAGAGGTGAGAAGACGCCTCCCCCTGAGTCTCTGCCGTGTTCAGGGGGATGGGGGCGGACTCATGAAACAGACTTTTTTTTGGTATTATGGCTCAATGGCCCCCTGGAGAGGCAGAGGGGAAGGAGACCGCCTGAAACGTGAGGCAGTTTTTAAAAGGATCGATGACGTCTATTTTAATCTCTTAAAAGACGAGTCACTGGGTAAGAGGACAAAGCACTCACTCCTCTTGGGCTACTTCTCAAGCGAATAAGGGAGAGAGGAGAAGGACATGAGGCGGCACCAGCCCCAGCCTCTGCTCTCCAGGACATCCCTGCCTGGGAGGTGAGAGCAGGGGCTGGTCTGTACTGGGCAGGGGAGCTTCCTCATAGCCATAGATCACAAATGAAGCAGTAAGGTCCCCGAAGGCCTGCAGGAGAGGAGGAGCGCCATGACTGGGGGTGGTGGGGGGTGGGGAAGGCCAGCCCCTTCCTCTCCACCCCTCGGCCCGCCCCGCATCAGTGGTAGAGGCTTCACCTGAGCCTCCTGGGTTCCACCTTCACCCTTCCGCTAACTGCCCTCCACACCGCTGCCCAAATTGGCTTTTTTTTTTTTTTGGTTTTTGGCTAGGCAATGGGGTTAAGTGACTTGCCCAGGGTCACACTGCTAGTAAATGTTATGTGTCTGAGGCTGGATTTGAACTCAGGTCCTCCTGAATCCAGGGCCAGTGCTCTATCCACTGCGTTACCCAGCTGCCCCCCAAACTAGCCTCTTAAGGAACGTGTCTGACGCATATCAGCCAGGCTCAAACACGTGCATGTTTCCGTGCTGATTTTTAGATAAAATCCAGGGTCCTCAGCCTGGCATTTGGGCAAAGATCCCCACAATCTGCTCCCAAACTAGTGAGGGCATGAACATTTGTTCTCAACGTCAAGAGCTATATTTAGGTAAAAAGCATGTGCTCTGGAGTAATTTAGTAGAGCGTAAATTCCTTGAATATAGGGACTGTTTCTTTCTGGTCTCTGGATCTTATCCCCAGCACCTATCACAGCACCCGACAAACAGCGGGTGTGGAACAGAAGCTCAATGACTGACATACAAAGTACTGAGCAACGTCCTCGCACTGGTGACCCAGAGTGGGAGAAGGAATGCAGCCAATGGAACCGCAGCCCTGGTCAGACATCAAGGCACCACGGGACGAAGCGGCAGATGAGGCTAAGGACCGCCACCTCAGCTCCCCGCGGAGCTGGGCATGCGCCCGTCGCTCTGCACCCCCTAAGAAGCAGCCACTTACTTCTCCAGGATCCCCTTCTGCTTGATGATGCGATACACCTCTGCGGCGGTCGGAGGGCCCTGGAGCTTCTGGCCATTGAGCATCTCTCTCTCCAACTCCTCGATGGCCTTAAAAACCAAAAACCCAAACCGTCATGACGACGAGCGTCACAGAGATGCCCCCGGCCAGGGCTCCACCAGCACATCGCTGAAGATAAAGCAGCGCGCCGTCCCCAGCCCAGGCTGGCTCAGGGATCCGAGGCCAACCCTGCCCCATCCCCCAGGGCACGGGCTCCCCTGGAAGTCCTGGAAACTGGCCGAGGGAGGGGCAGGCCGACTACCTTTCCCGTCTTGACAAACGCTTCGGCCACTCTCCGGTTCCGGCCCGCATAGCACGTGGTGATCAGGTCGGCCACCCCGCAACTCTCCAGGAAGGTGGCGGTGGACACCTGCCCCTTGCAGAAGATCCTGGCGAAGGCGATCATCTCCATGAGCCCCAGGCGGATGACGGCGGCCTTGGTATTGTCCCCGCAACAGAGCCCATCGCAGAAGCCGGCTCCCACCGCCACGATGTTCTGGGGAGGAAGGAGAAGCCGCAGAGTTAGAGAGGGCATGAACGATCACAAAGACCCATCACTGAAAGTCTTGCGGCGCTCACCGCATCCTTGCGCTCCCTCCCACAGGCAGCGGCAGGATGTGCTGCTGAACCCCGCAGAGATTCAGGCCCACTGCCACCCGGTCCTGTCTCACCTTTCCAGCCAAACTGGCCTCCCCTCTGTTCCTCACACAAGACGTTTTATCTCTAGCCTCCCTGACGTGGGAGCTTGGGCGGGGTGCAGTGGGCCTAGTACTGAAACTAATCTTGGCAAGACCGGAGCTCAAATCCAGCCTCAGACTCTCAAATTTGTGTAATCCTTACTTAACCGACTCAACCTCGGTTACGATGTGGAGGAGAGGAGAGGTGGGAGGGAGAAAAATAGATTTTTATTTGAAAGAATGAAATATTAAAAACCAAGACTATTCAAGCACCATCTCCTGCAGGAGGCTGTTAGCCAGTCAACACGCATGAATGAGTCATTAACGCTCACTCGGTACCAGCACTGGGCTAAGTGCTGGGGATGGCACCTTCAAGCCTGGGACTCGTTTGTTCTTTACAAATCCTCAATGGTGGGAGCACAGGTCAGGTGGTGGACAGCACACCCCTCAGGGAGGCAGCCAGGCAAAAGGGAGACCCCAGGATGCTGGGGTGGCAGCACGTGATGGTGTGGACATGGAGGCTGAGAAGGGCTGGGACCCGCCCGGACTGGGGCAAGAGCGGCCCCTTACCCCCGCCCCTGGGCTTGGCCCACCTTAGTCGGGGCAGTTTTTATGAGCAGTTTTATAACTTCATTTCAAGAGATTTCCTTTGTAATCCCCTGTATTTTTATACATTTAAAAACACGGCTTGGAAGTGGGCGTCAGCTCCTGAGAGCTCGGCACTAACCTAGCTTCCAAGCTCTGTCCCATAGCGACGAAGCTGGGGACAGGAGGCCACCCCTGCCACTCGGCCCTTCCCCCAAGACCAGGAATTTCCAAGGGGCCCATGAATCCTGCCCGTGGGTCGGTCATGCCTTCCACACCCACTGGGGGGGGTCACTGTGGAGTTACAGGCTCTTTGGGATTCTTACTGATGTGGAAAAAAAAGGATCATCCCTCCCCCCACACAGAGCTCTCTCCCAAGTGAGGACTCCACGGCCTTTCTGCACTTGTCCGAGGGTGGGTGTGGAGAGAAGCGGAAGGAACTTGTCTGGAGAGGCAGTGACGGGGCTGGCTCCCAGTGTGACCCGGGCACTTAGCACCCCCATGACCATCAATGGACGAACAAGCATGATTCAGTGTGAGGCACGTTGGATGAAGAATGAAAGGGGTCTGACCTCGAGGAGCCCCCCCTTCTTTTGGGGGGCCATGTGTGCACACGTGTGTATGTGCACACACGTATGTACATGCCCACAAATAGTATGTACGTGTGTGCGCACACTCCAAGCACATGCATGATAAACACGTGCACACAAACATGCATACATGCCTGTCCGACATAAGGCACTGCCTGTAACGTACTAGGTAGCACATGAAACCCATCACACCAAAGCCACACCGTCCATGCACAGACAATGAATGTAAAGACTCAGCATGAACAGAATGCCCAGGAGGCAGTCTGGGGGAGATCCAGGAGGGCTTCCTGCCCAGGGTGGTGTGGGGAGCTGTGTCTACAAGAGAGGGGCAGCGAGGCCCGGGCCAAGGGCAGCTGTGCACAGACAAGGCCGCGGGGTGTCCTGTGTCAGGAAAGGGAGAGAAGGCGTGTTCGGCCGGACTGCAGAGTCAGGAAGGGGATGAGGGTGGACTGAGGCTGGAAGGGCCTCAGCTGGGAAGAGCTTTCAACGCTAAGCAGGGTTTATGCTTCACCTTAGAGCAAAGGGGGCTAAATCCTCTGTGCCTAAGGCCCCTCCCGGCTCTAAATCTAGACTGGAGCGTCCAATAGACGGTGCCGCCAGAAAGAGGTCTCAGGCACAAAGGGCCCTCATAACTGTTCTGTGATAGCCAAAAACAAGAAACAAAGTGGGTGCCCATCTACTGGTAAATGGCAGAAAACTCTTCTGTGAATGTAAGGAAATAATTCCAGAGGCAGCGGGTGGCACAGTAGATAGAGCACTGGGCCTGGAATCAGGAGGACCTGCGTTCAAATCCAGCCTCAGACACTTGCTAACTGTGTGATCTTGGGCAAATGACTTAACCTCTGCCCTCAGTTTCCTTAATTGTAAAATGGTAATAATAATAGCACGTACCTTCTAGGATTGTTGTAAGCATCAAATGAAATAGTATCTGTTAAAAGCGCTCAGCACAGTGCCTAGTCCCAGCACATAGTAGGTGCTATAAAAATGCTTATTCCTTCCCTTCCTTGCTTGCTATAAGAAAAGATGTGAACGGGAGCTTGCTGAGGGCAGAGGACGTTTCATTTTCTGCCCCTGCTCTTCCAGTGCTGGCACTTGGCATTTCTTGAGGGATCAGGAGGAATTCAGAGAAGCATGGCAAGGCTCGTGTGACTGGGTACGGAGCAACGTGGTTCTGGGGGTGATCACAACAAGCTGCAGGAGAGGCGGGCGCGGCCCACCCCCCCCACAACTGTTCGCGGGCCCAGGGGGCCCTTGGGGCCGCACGCACCCGTGCGCTCTGCTCAACTTTGACTTCCTGGTTACCCGGGGGACACTCAGGAAAGAGCCGTGAGAGTTTCTAAACAAGCACCGATAAACGGTCAGACAGTCAGACGGTCAGAACGCCTCGGATGGCTGAATGGGTGATGGCGTGGTTCAGGGGCCTCGGAAACCACCCACTAGTCCCCCCGCCCTGTACAGCCAAGGAAGCTGAGGTCAAGTGACTTGCCCAGGGTCACACAGTATTAAGTGTCAGGGCCAGGATTTGCACCCGGGTTTTCTGCTGCCTGTGTCCCCTCCCCTCACCCACCCCCACTTTAGAGGGTACACCTCCCTTACAGATAGAATACCATTGCCTGTGATCAGTCCCTAAAATGCCTATTCCTTCTATCAGAGGCATCTGGCAAAAGACAAACAAACCCACAGGCCGAGGTGTCCCTGGTGTCCAGCCAGCCGTGAGAGTTACCATGATACAGGTGGCGGCTAAATCTGTGGACTTTTCTGAGCTAAAATTATCACTCTTCCAGCAGGCAGCTGTATTCGGGGCCTCCCTGTTTGCTGCAAGCACAAGACTAACCAGCCTCATTCGAAGGTGGAATGGCGAAGTCTCTCTTCCAAACCCAAAGGGGACAAAAAGAGAGACGCCGGACTTCTGGACTAACCCTCTGCCTGCCATGCCACAGGAACATAAGGACACACACAGAGCTAAAGGCACTGTATGCTCCCGAGGCCTTACCAGCCAACCCAACATGGTAGCATCCTCCCTACAACACTGGGGCTGAGGGGAGGATGTTCTCAGTTCAGTAACACCCAAGGGGGCCAACGAGGGCTTCCCTCTTTCATAAAACACATGTGAGGAACAGCTGGAGGAACAGGGTGGGCAGAATGCAGAAAGAAGATGGCACGGAATGAAAGCCTGGACCCAGCTCTGGAGGGCCCTGAAGGAGTCATTAGTTTCCACAGCTGAAGAGTTCAAACTATTTACTCTGAAGGTCCCTCACAGCTCTGACCTTGGCTCTAAAGGTCCAGTCTGGCACTAACGTCCACGGCCCTGTAGGCTTGGTCTGGCTCTAACATGTTTTGTTCTAAAAGTCTCTCGACTCTGAGCTCTGACCTTGACGTTCCAAAGGTCCCTCTCGCTGTGGTTTCTCCGTTACCCAGAACACAAGCCTGCAGGAACCTCTGTTACTGAGTGAGTTTCCCAGGCCCATTCTGGGGAGGCCGATAAAGGCTTCTCACCGACTTTCTTCCTTCCAAAGACTCGCTCTGCATAATGGTAGCCAGCATACACCCACCTCCAGGCTCTTTGCCAGCGAACATTTCTTGTCTATTTCAAGTCCGAACATGGGCCGTCCATGTGATAGCTGACAGCTGGAGCTCGCCAGGAGCCCCCTTGGTCCCAGCCAGGATTTCACCAGGCTCCAGCTACACACACCACTCACCAGCTGCACTTAAAAACCAGCCTTGGAGTTTCCAGGGCAACCACCAAGCAATTAGGCACTTTCCAATGTCAATGGTGCCCCCTGCTGTCAAGCGGTCATTACCTTAATGAAGGACCATTAAACAGACATTTAAAAAAGGGCCCAACAAAAGTCCAGTCGCCTGAGCTAGTGTTTAAATGTAGGCACTGCCAACGTGGCAGGGCAAGCATCCCCCTACATAAGCAGAGAGAGAGAGGGAGAAGCTGGTCGGGGCCCAAGACTTGCCTTAGCTTCAATTCAACGCTTTTCAATTTGCACAGGGGAGGGGTTCGAGCACCTATACCAGTTCAGGCAAGAAACTGGTTCTTCTATTCCTCCTGCCCTGAGCCCCCATTCTCCCTCCCCACTCCACCAACAAAAAAAAAAAAAAAAAAAAAAAGCCAAACAAACCAGGCAGGAAGGAGAGTTCTCATTTCTTAGAAGATCAAGGGTAGGACTTTTGGGAAGAATGGTAAAGTGGGTACAGAATGAGACATACACTGATCACTGTCCCATATAACCAATATATTCATTTTACTTAATTCTACTTTGTTAGAAGAGAGAATTCTATTTGGGGAAGTGATAATGATGTAAAAAAAAAAAAAGAAAAAAAGGAAAACCATTACCAACAGGTAAAAGGCAGGTTTCATTATCTGTCCTGTTACACCATGAGGGCCTGGAGTATCACCCACTTATTTTTAAGAACCCCAGTTCAACCTGCAAAATGATTGTTGGGCTGTATCTGCAACGTCTTCATGCCGCCCTGCACCTTGGAATTAGCTTTACCTTGAGTGCCCCGCACAGCTCTACCGTGTCGGCGTCGTCCACAACGGTGATTCGGAAATTTGGGGTCTGGAGGAGTTCCTTGAAGAGAAGCCCGTTCTCCAGGATCTTGCTGCCTGTTATTGAGGGGCAGAGGGAAAAAAGACATTAACAACCAAGACTTCTCATTCTCTTTTTTGTTTGTTTATTTTGGTTAAAAAAAACACAAAACTCTTGTAACAAGTAACTGAGATTTTTTAGAAATCTTTAAAGCATATTGACATTCGTGTGCAAGTTCTAGATTTAAAATGTTGGGGGGGGGGGGTCCCCACCATCCTGTTGCTGAATGTTTCCTACTGAACAGTTTAAACAGTCTGTATAGTCCTCACAGATGGCAAGTCTCTGCTTCCAAAGCCAATGACAAATAATGCCTAGTAGAGGGTCACTGGGGCGTCTTAATGAGTTAAACAATGTTACTGAGTTAGAAACAGGAGGAGAGAAGGGAAGAAAAAGAAGGGAAGGCTGGGGCAGCCCCAAGGCATAGTGTGGGGGGGGGCGGGGGGGTTTGGAATAAAAAAAGAGAAAACCCCTGCAAGATGGAACACGGGACAAGGGGAAGGAATGAGGGAAGGCCTCCCGGAGAGGTGGCACTGCACTGCTGGGTTCTGAGGAGGGAGGAGGGGAAGGACAGAGAACATGCCCGAGAGAGGCAAAGTGTCTCTCCTCTTTTCAGCCCCCAAGCTATAATCAAATCAGCACAGTCTTATACTCCAAAGGGGGTGACATGACTTTCCAAGCCCAAATGCCTCCCTGGCTCAGGGGTGGTCGCCCCCATCAAGAATGTGAGATCCCCAGGGCTTGGCACATCGCACAGGAATGCTCCTTCATTCATTCATTCCAGCTGCTTAATCATGGACGCAGCTTAACTGCTCAGTCTCAATGTTCTTGTCTGTGAAATGGAATATTATACCTGCCCTATTTACCTCCCAGGGCTACTGGGACAGTGAAATGAGATGCTCTTTCTCAAGCAGTTGGGAGACCTTAAACTGCCACACAAATACAAGCTATCATCCTCATCCTCATCACTTAGGAGGTGGGCACTAAGTTGTCCATGGGAGCCCTCCTCCTCTGAGGCATGATCGTCTCACTGAGGTGGCTGAGGGTTCTCCAAAGAGAGGTCAGGGGACTAGGTGGGTCCTACCAACGGAGGGGGGAGGGGGGGGCTTCAAGCATGGACCAAGCTCGCCGTGATATCAATGTTTACATTAATTAAGCACCTTCTCTGTGTCAGGCACAGGAGACAGCAATACAACCCCCCCCCACCCCCCGCCCTGGAGATAGCTTACATTCTATTGGGTATAAAAACATCTACAAAGAAAAGTAATACTCGTTATTTCTAGAGAGATGGCATTTGCACCTCGGGTTAGGGGGAGTGAAGGGAGAAAAATCAAACAGTGAAATCAAACAGCTAAGCTGTTTAGCTTTGAGCTGAGATTTGAAGGGATTTTATAATGAGAGCTCATACATATATAAAGCACTTTACACATATTATCTCATGGGATCCTCACAACAACCCTGGGAGGTAGGTGTTTCCCATTTTACAGATGGGGAAACTGAGGCAGGCAGTAGTTCAGAGTTTTGCCCACTGTCCCACAGCTAGGAAGTGTCTGAGGCTGGGATGCATTCCAGGGAAGGGGGGGGATGCCCGAGCCACTCACCATCCCCATTACCCTCATGGCCCCTTTCTTCCTCGCACATCAGGCTTTTCCTGATCCCTTCAGTCACTGGTGCCCTCTCTCTCACTATGGGTTTGAGCTCTCTGCCTTTCTCCATATTCCTTTTCTTTATCTTTACTCCAGAGAAGCTGTGAGCAGATGTCCTGGCTCCCACCCCGGGCTGGGAGAGCCCCCCGCCAAAGTCCGGCCCCACAGACTAACAGGTTTCACCTCAGCCAAGCCAGCGGACTTCTGGGCCTTGATTTCCTCAGAGGCAGAAGAGGATTCTCCCCATGTTCTACTGCCTGGGGGCGTTCTGAAGAAGGGGCTTTGTGACTCAGAATTAAACAAGAAAACCAAACCATCCCCTGGGAAACAACCTTTCCTCAGCAGGGCTCTTCTCTCACGTTTACTCGCTCTCACTGACCACCCCAACTCCTGCCAGAATCTCTGTGCTCCAAACCCGAGGAATCGTCCACAAGGACGAGCGAGGGGGCTGCGGCCATGGCGCGGCGCTGCGCTGCTCATGAAGCTTCCCGGCCCCCTCATCTGCAGGAGAAGATACAAACTCCTCTTTGGCATCGAGAACCTGCCCCAACCTGCCCCTGGCCTCACTTCCAGACTTGTTCACACAGCTCCCCTTCTGGACCAAATGGCCTAAAACCCTCCCCTCCCCCCGGCCCTTGCAGGCCTTAGTTCCAGGGGTCGTGGGCCTGAAGTGTCCTCCCCCTTGCATCTGCCTCAGAGAACTCCGAGCTTCTGTAAAGGTGGGGCTCCAACACCTCCTCAATGAGGTTTATCAGCGTCTCCCTTAGATACCAGATGCTCACTCTCTGTGACCCCATTTGGGGTTTTCCTGGCATAGAAACTGGAGTGGTTTGCCACATCCTTCTTTAGTTTATTTTACAGATGAGGAAACTGAGGCAAACAGGGTTCAGTGACTTGTCCAGGAAGTGTCTGAGGCCAGATTTGAACTCAGGAAGCTGAGTCTCCCTGACTCCAGGCTCCATGCTCTATCCACTGAACCACTTGGCTTCCTAGTTACTAGCGTTTCCCTTCAAAATTATCTTGCAGTAACCAGACGTTGTCATATTTGTTATTTTCACTGATCTGCGTCCGTGTTTCCCTCCACAGAACATAAGCTCCATGAGGGGAGGGACTGCTTCCTTTGGGGCTTTGTATTTCAGTGCCTGGTACACTGCCTGGCATATAGTAGGTGCTCAATAAATGCTTATCGAATGAAAGGAGAGGGAGAGCAGTAAGAAAGCACCTGCCTTGGCCGTCTCCCGGTGGTCTCCCTCCCCGTTCTCCTCTTCCCTTCCACTTGGGGCTGTCTCTGGCCTTCCGCTCAGCTCCTCCCCAGTAGTCACCCCCTTTCCCCAGACTCCCCTTACATCCCTACCCATACAACAACTGGAGTTCCAGTGCCAGTTTGTGCCTTGCTAGTTGGCAGTTGATCTGTGGTATAGGAAGGGGTCTCTGGACACCCCCTCCAACAAGTGTCTGTGACAGCATTCTAGGGTCAAGACCCCGCCTCAAAGAACCAGGAAGGCAACTTTATTACGCAAAACTAATGGTAGGGTGGGGGAGGGAGGGGGAGGGCCCAGACCCAGAATCCCAAGGTCAGGCAGCAGAGGAATGACCCAGGGAAGGCAGCAAGCGTCACAGCCTCCTCTAAGGCAGGCCAGCCTGGGCACCTGCGGACAGCAGGTGGAGTAAGGACTGAAGGGGGCTGGGGGAAGGAGGAGGAAAAGCATCGGCACAGAGCAGATAGAGATCAAAGCTAGGCGCCCCAGGCCAGGAATAATCACCCTGCTGGACAGGTTACCCCAGTTTTCTAGGCCAGCGAAGACTGCACAGTCTGGCGGGGCCACTGGTTGTCTTCATCCTTGACTGCTCCAAGAGTTGGACCCGGGCCCATCGGCTAGCCCGGGCTCACGGGCTAGCCCAGGCCCATCGGCTAGGCGATGCATTGGGTTTGGATAAAGGGAGGCACGCTGGGAGGCGGGGGAGGGGGAGCTCAGGTGTGGGCTACCTTCAGGGTTAGTGTTACTATGAGGTCGGTATTTCTTAAAAGCTTTTGTGACCGTTGGTAGGTTGGGATGGTGCAAATGAGCTCTGGTCTTGCATTTGGGAGCCCCCTCCATCCACCCATCTCTGCCCCACACTGGGCAAGGGCCAGACCTGGAGGTGGGAAGATCTGAGTTCCAAACCTCCCTCTGACACATACTGGCTGTGTGACCCTGGTCAAATCATTTACCCCATAAGGGTCTAAAATGCAGAGCAAGGAAGGGGCTGCCTTGATGAAGAAAGGCTACACGGGGAGCTCCCTGTGCCAATGAAATCCCGGGTCCAATATACTCGGGCCATCAAAATAAAATCAGTTACAACTCATGCTGATTGAAAACAGTAACCTCTCTGTTCTAAGCTTCCCCTCTGGTGTGACTCCCCAGGCAAACAGCCCCCGCTGTCACAATCTCAGGCTCCCACCCCCGAGGCTGGTCAGGACCAGGCTGATGACCAGGCTTTATTCTCCTCCAGCACTCAAGGCCACAGGCTCCCGGCCCAGCAGGCCCCTCCAGACAGCCAGGCCTGAGACCACCTCCTCCTAGTAGCCTCGACAGAAGGCTAAACCAACGGCCCTTCCTCTACAAAGACTCCTGCTCTTAGGACATGGTGCCTGGGCAGAAAGAATGAGACTTTCAGGCCCTTTGAAAAGAGTTTCACAATCCAGGGAGGTCCAGGCAGGATCACAGGTCACAGATTTAGAGCTAGAAGGGACCTTAGGGTCCAACCCCTTCATTTTACAGATGAGGAAACTGAGGCCCAGGCAGGAGAGTGACATGTCTGGGGTCACAAAGCTAGCACCCAAGGCTGTCTTCCTGACTCGACTTCTGGCCAAGGGGGCTCCCAAGGCCTGATCACATTCCGTGCAGATTAACTCGTGGGGTTCCCCCCCCTGCTTTTTAACAGGTGTGCCGGCCTAATTCCATAATTGCAGCACAGATGAGCCTCGCAGGCAAAGGCCCCCAAATCACAACAGAATAAATGACAATGACGCCGGCGAAGGCGCCTGTGCCAACAGCGACTCTCTCGATCCCCCCAAGAGCCCAGAGACTTTCCTTCAGCGCCAGAACCCAGGGAGAACTTCCCGGCCCCAGGGAATGGAACATCAAAGCTCCCGGTAGATGGCCGAGATGCAGAGCTGCGCTGTGCCAATTAGAGGAAGCCAGAGCCTGCTGAAGTTTGAAGGAAAGGCATCCTCACTGCAAAGCCCACCTTGTGAGGCTCGCTACACGCACAATGCCCCCTTTTACAGATGAGGATCTGAGGCTCGGGTCATTTACCACACATCAGGGAGAGCCCTGGGACAGAGCCGCCCCCACGGTTCAATAATAACGTCCCTCCTGAGCCCCACCACCTTACATACCTCCAGGGAGATCACTAAGAAGTCACCAAGTCCATCCTCCCCCTTTCAGAGGCCCAGAGGAGCTGGCAGACTTGCCCATGATCAGAAAGGTAGGATTTGAACCCAAGGCCTCTGACCCCAGTACTGTATACTGTACTACACTGTACCCCAGGGCTGCTTCCTGTGAATCTGAGCTGTGGGCAGCATGGCTCTACGGGGTCCTCTGGAGGCCCTGTTAACAAACCACGCCTCTTACCAGACCTCCCAGAAATCACTCTGTGTGTATTCTGCATCTAAGCTCCTTAAGGGCAGGGCCGGTTCTGTTTTGTCTTTGGATCTATTTCTGCCCCATCCACCCAAACTAGCATAGTGCGCGGTATAAGCGGTTGCTTAGTAAGTGCTGGTTGAACTGAATTGCCCAAGATCACTGAACTAGTACGTGGCAAGATCTGAACCCAAGACTTTCCCCAGTATCAAGGAATTCCGAGCTAAGGATGGCTGCCTGCTCTGGCCTCCGCGTGTGCCCTTACCAATCGTGGTCTCACAAAACTTCTCAGCCGCCACCTCATTCGCGATGTTGGCGCCCATCAGCACGCTGATATCGATGCCCATCTTCTCCCGGATGATGTCGGAAATCAGTCTGAGCCCTTCGGGACCCTCGTCAATTCCCTAGAAACAGGACGCAACCAGGTCAAGGAGGAAACGGACAAATCCGTCAATGCCAGGAGGCCGCTCGACAGCCCGCTCGCCGGTCAGCTCGGCCTCTCCTCCGAGTTCATACAAAGGGCGAAAAGGAAACACGGGCATGACGGCGACTGCGGATGCCAGCGTGACGCCAGCCTTGATGATGCCCGCCCGCCCGCAGGTTTTCTGGTTTTCTCCCCGGGAATATTTACTCATTTTTGTCAAAAGCCGATGACTCATTTTCTTCCCAAGATCCACCAACGCTCAGGCTCTACTCTGCACAAAAATGTTTATGGCGGCTCCGCTCCTACCATGGGAAACAACCTAATGTCCAGCGCTCGGGACGGGCTGAATAGAGTGTTCTCCGAGGCCGGATGGCGGAGAGGTAAAGGGAGACTGTGTGAAGCGAGCAACAAAGAAAATGCTGACCGCGGCGACATCAAGAGGGCAGCCGAGAATCACGGGAACAAAGACGACCTCCGTCCACTCGTTAGCGCAGAACACATGCGCACACACACACGCGCACACACTCACATGCACGCACATGCCCGCACACACACGTTTGTATTTAGTTAAGCTTTTTGAGAGGAGGGGTGGTTTTAATCCTTTTGGTTGTAAGCCCAATCCCTAGCAGAGTGCCAGTACATATTAGGTGCTTAATAAATGCCTGACTAATTTGTGCATGGCTGTCTTTTCACTGACTCAATTTTCTCATTTGTAAACTGAAAGCGTTGGACTAAGTCCCTTCCAGCTCAAGTTCAACGATTCCAGGATCCACAATTTGATTGTCACACTCATACATTGTTGGAGGAATTGCAAATTTGGTCCAACCATTCAGGAAAGCAGGATTATGCCAAGAAAGGGAAGGTACAAACCCTTGGACTTGGAGATCCCAACACCAGGCACGTAACCTAGGGAGGTCAAAGACATAAAGAAAGCCCCATACACACCCTAATATTTATAGCAGCACCTTTTGGAAGAAAATAAAGAGTTTTCAGACAGAGGCCTCTAACTTTCCCCAACCTTCCGCCCCAACATTCCAACGACGTCCCTAGCAGCCACCAGATCACCTTTAAGGCCTCTCCCATCCACTATCTCAGCATCCCTCCCTCCCCTGCACAGAAGCTCGTCCCCAAAGCTGCTTCTTCACGGCGAGGAGACCCTGGCTTCTTCCCCACTGGGGGAGCGTGAGCTAACGGGCAGGTCTGACTGAGCTGGAAAGGATTCAGGGTCAAGTTTGGGCATGTCTCAGGAGCCGCTCTGCTCAGGCAGGCTTGTTCCCAGGAGGACGGCGACCAGGGATGACTTATCACCCCCAAAACGGCCCTTGGCACCCAATGGAGAAGCATGTTAAGTGTTCTATGTACCAGGCATCTGGGGACACAAGGAGAGCAAACAGACTGTGCCTGGCCTCGAGGGGCCACATTCTCAGATGCCCTCCCACTGCCAGAGGAGGCCAGCGGAGAGATGGGAAAGGAGGCAGAGGTGCCAAGGCTCGGGGTTCTTGGGCCGGCCACCAGCACCGACCACACTTGACCGTGTGAGCTGCTGCCCACCTGGACGCTCGGCACCTCTGCCTGACAACCGAGAGTAGGAGGCGTCAGAGAAACGGCAGCCGGGGCAGGGTGGGCGGATGGGCCAGCCAGGGTGCTGATTTCTCCGAGTGCCCTCAAATGAACGTTCAGGAGCTCAGGCCACCCTGGAGTAAGTGGAGCTAAGGCACACAGATTCACTCATGAGGGAGCAGAGGAAAGAGTCCGCAGGTCTGGCCAACCCGGGGTGGCACGCCGGGGCCACGTCCACCCAAAAGGTGGGCAGGTGGGCTGAGGAGATGCTTGGCTACCAGAGGACTGTCTGGGGCGCGGTGGGGAACTCGGCTAGGGAAACTCGGGTCCACCAGTGCACACGGGCACCTCCTCTGCTGCTTGGAGACTCAGAGCAGGGGATTGCAAATGTTTTGGTCTCAGGACGCCTTCGTGTTCTTAAAAATGGAGGACCGCGCTGCTCACGCTCCCCTCCCTCAAGAGTTTTTCTTTATGTGAGTTATAATATTTACCACGATTAGACATTGAAATGGCTTCATACTATTAAGAAAATAGTTTTGACTCTGTGGATGCTGGGGATCCCTGAGAACCACTGACTTATAGGAGGGACCACAATTAATAAACAAGCGTTTCCATACTGCCTACCATGTGCCAGGCACTGTGTGAAGCACTTTACAGTATTAGCTCATCTGATCCTCACAACAACCCCAGGAGGTTACTGCTGTCATCCCCATTTTACAGATGAGGAAACTGAGGCAAACAAGGTGATATGACTTTCCCAGAGTCACACGGCTAGTACGTGTCTGAGGCTGATTTTGAACTTGGGTCTTCCTGATTCAGGAAGTAAAAAGTACTTGCTGACCATGGTTGGCCCTCTATGCTCTGTGTTGCTAATTAATGCTTATTAGATTGTGCGCTGCTGAATGGATGTTTCGCAGAGAAATGAAAGAGGCCAAAAGCTTGTGGGCTACTCAGAAGCCTCATTCTTATACATCATACATACTCCGTTCAAAAAATCATGGCATGATTGAGCGCCCAATGACATTAATGAAGAAAAAATGGACCGTCTCTTGGGAGACAGGGGACAGCTGCCTAGGGTGACAGCCAAGTTGGTTTTCAATGCCAACGCACCATGTTGGGTTGGGGCTGATTACACAGGCGTTCAAACAAGCTCCTGGCCCAAAACCGGGCGCGAGAGCAGACAAAGTGAGGACGTTAGACCTTCCCTGCTTCTAAGCGGTCACCACGCTGCAGAGGCCAGGAGCTCATAAGGAACCTCAGCCGGCCCACATTCTTTTTCTGCACCGACCCGGTGACCAAGAGTCACCTGATCCAGAAGGTTTGCAGAACTTTCCAGAAGGTCAGGGCGACTGCTTTATAAGCCAGGCTGGCTGGTCAGAGTGGGCTTCAGCCAAGCCAGACTAGCCCAGGGCATTTTTAGATGAAACCACAGAACAAACAGACCCAAGATGGAACAGACTGGCTGGCATTTCCTCAAGGATGGGCCTCCAAAGCAGTCCCTAACGTACCCATGTCAGGAGGCTGCATGGCACATGGGGAAATTGGGTGGGCCAGACCAAATGCCCAAGAGTAAACCCACACCGGAGGAAGGACTTGGGGTCTGATTTCCAAGACACAGCTAAGATGTGAAGACACTAAAAGAATAAAAAGTCACGGAGGATGTCTTTAAGCCAAACGGCCAGGCTCCAGTCACTACTGACCCAGGCTTACTCACTCATCTCTATGACATCTGTGTGGACTGGTCAGCCAGTCAATTAGCATTTATTAAGCACTCCCGAATCACAGCCAGGCACTGAGCTGAGCAGTGAGGATACAAAGCCAATCCCCGCCCTCCCTGGAGGGGCTCGCGTTCTAATGAGGAGGCGACAGGGTCACCTCAAAGGGGAAGGCCTCCGAGCTGGGGAGTGTTCCCAGGAAAGACCTCCCCCTGCAGAAGACGGGAACTGGGCTGCAGCTTGCAGGAAGCCAGGGCAGTGCCGGGCAGAAAGGAGGAGGGAGCACGTTCCGGGTCTGGGGGACAGAGGGAGAGTCACGTGTAAGGAACGGCCAGTGGGCCAGGGTGGCTGGATTCTAGTGTGTGTGGAGGACCCGAAGGCCCACGGAAGCCCGCGATGGAGGGAAGGGTTCAGCAAGAGGAAGGCTTTAAACGTTAAAGAGCAGACTTCAGCCTCGGTCCTGGAGGACAGAGACTGGTCTAACTGCCCCACTAGAAAAATAAAACAGTATGAAAAAGACGCGTACCCAGGCACACGACACGAAGGTGGATGAACAGTCAATCGCGTCGGGCCAGCCACATGTGCATCTGACCACTTGTCACCACCGATGCCTCGGCGGCTGTCTCAGCTCTCAGAGAAGCATGCTGACTAGAGCTGGCCTCAGAGCTAGCGAGATCTGGGTTCAAGTCCTGCCCCTGACAGCTTGGGGCTGTGTGACCCTAGGCAAGTCACTAACCTCTCTGCGGGCCAGACAACAGAGTAGGCACTGATCTGCCCTGTAGGAAGAAGTTACTCCCGAGTTCTCTCTAAACCAAGGATATTACAGGTCTGATTAAAAAAAGACTGGCTTCTATGGAGGATGGATGGATAGACCTGGGCAGGGAACAACCACACAGGACGTGGGCTTGCGATCTGCACTGGTGGAGGGAAGGACCACATCAGGGAGTCCCCAGGCCCACAAAGGATCAAAGCACCCCACCTACCTTGATGAGGGTAATCCCCAGAGCTTTCTTGGGAACTCGCCCAGTGATCTCATCGCAAATCCTGCGAATGAACTGGTGAGGAATCACAAAGACCAGGAGGTCTGCGTCTCCAACAGCGTCACTGAGACTTGGGACAGCAATCTGCACATGTGAAGGAAAAGAGCCTTTAGGGAGTCCCACAGCTAAATGCTGCAGACACAACCTCATTCGTTCCCCAAGAATTTACCAAGCTTCTACTCCATGCCCAACACCACACAAAAAACCAGCAAAAACTAAGAGAAGGGTCAAGATGCAGTGGAAAGAGAGCTGGAGTGGTAGACTTACGAGAAATGCCACCACCACACCTTTGCCTAGGCTGTGCCCCACACCTAAGAATCGCTCTCCCGCCTTCACTCCAACTCTAAGAGTGCCCAGCCTCCTTCCAGGCTCAGCTTATGAGCCCTGTCCACTGGGCGGCCTTTCCTCATCCCCTGGTGGTCAGGGCTCGCTTTACCAGATAAGCAGGAAAGTCTTATGGACACGAATGTCTTGTGTTCTAAAAGAAGTCAGGCACCTTTGGTTTCTCCTAATACCCTCAGCACCTAGCACATAGTAGGTGCTTAAAAGCTGCTGCCTGGATTGAACAGCACCGTGCCTTCTCAGGCCACTTGTCCACGCTCACAGTAAATTAACAATGACAGCTGATGTGGATAGGGCAGTGTGAGGTCATCGAAGGGCTTTGCCCATCCATGTCACACAATGACCACGTGACTGTGAGCGAGCCAGGCCAGCTGTCTCTGCTTGGGCAGCTCCTGAGGCTCCTGGCTGCAAAGGAGGGGGCTCCCTGAACTTTAACGTGGATTTGGAATGGGGGAGCAGAGGCTGGGCTGGTGATTTTGTGGGTACAGAAAATTGTGGAGTGATGAAACCCCCTCGGCACCAGCCTTCCTACACCAATGGCTTTCCAGGGGTTTCTATCCCCTCTCTATTACCTGCCTTAAGGTAATGACTCTCACAAGAGCCCTCCAAGGCTCTTATACCCATTTCCTACATGAGGAAACTGAGGCCTAAAGAAATGACACAGTGAGAGTAAGAGGCATGAGCTGGAGCCCAAGGCTTCCCAATCCCCAGCCTGGTGCTCTGTTCACTCAGGCACAAAGCACATTGGTGACACTGGCTCGGGATCTTGGCACAGGGCTTGGCAACCTCTCAACTAATGAAGCCACTTTCCAATAAAAGCAACGTCTGCTTGGCCTTGCCCTGGCCTGAACAAGACGCCTCCCGCTACCAGGGTGGGCCCCAGGCATCAAGGCTCTGCTTTCTCAACAGCTGGTGGCTTAATTAATTAATTACACAAACACTAAAGGGCCAGGAGAGCTTTTTAAAAGAAATTTCCAGGATCTAGAGTCTGAAGGCTCAGTCATTTGGGTCCAGCTTCATCAAGGCCCAGAAACCCAGGGATAAACACTCCCCATGATCATGACCTCCTCCAAAGGAGGGATCCCAGTCACCTAATTGTCTCCCCTACAGGACTGAGGCAGCCTGGGCAGTCTGCTCCCAGGGGAGGAAGGACAAGCAGACAGAGGCAGAGGAATCCATAGGTATGACCACTGAAAACACAAAACTGGGAAACAGCCAATGGATGGCCAGACTCGTAGTTGGGAAGACCTGGGTTCAAATCCTGTCTCTTTTACAGCCTAGCCATGTGACCCTTGGGGAAGTCTCCCCTTTCCCCAGCCAATCCTTCCCCATTTGGCTGCAGGACCCTTTCCCACATCCTCTATGAACTGGCCCACTCAGCATCCCCAAAGCTGCTCTCCATCTCCTGCCTCCCTGGCACCCCCAGACCCATGTCTGCAACATACTAGTGCTTGCTTCTCACTGCCTTCCAGAGCCCTTGGTCCCCTCTGCCCTGGTGAGGCCTCAGTGGAGGAGTAATCACCTGAGGTAGGTGGATCCCTATGTCGTCGCCTCCCATGGGGCCGCCACGCCATGCCACATCTCACCATGCCTCACTTACCACATTTTCAGGCAGCTTATGTCCGGGGAGGTACTTTACATTCTCATGATCATTATTGATGATGTCTGTCAGTTTTCGTCCATTCACTGTTTCCTCAAAGACCCACATCTTGACCATTGGGGCAAACTTCTGAAGCTTCTTGACATTGTTGCCAATGATTTTGGCCACGGCTGAGCCCCTACAGAGAGAGCAGAAAGGACTGGCCACGGTCAAGGTCTGCAAAGCCAGGGTCGGGGGCTGGCCCCACACCCGGCCAAGTGACATCATCTATAAAATGGGGAGAACAAGGTCTGCTCCAACAAGAGCAGGCGCAGGGAACATGGTGAAAACCACAAGAGGCTGATTTCGTTCCCAAGAGCTCAGGTTCCCGTCGGCTCAAGGATCACCCCAAAGCCCACCCAATTCTACAGGCGTTTATCAGGCACCATGGCCTGTGCCAGGTGCTGGGGAGGGGCTCGGTGGGTTCTGTAATGTCGACACATGGAACTCTCGTGTGAGGAAACTCCCTCCACGCATGCAGATTGCCTTCTCAGAGTCTCTGAGCAGGGCTTCTGAGTGTTTGATCACTGTACTGTGATATACTGGCTTCTCTTATGATCTCTGCATTTCACTTTATGCACTTAAAAACTCAATTTGCCAGACAACCCAACCCGAGGTTTAAGAGAGGCTGGGAGCCTCAAGGGGTTAGTGAACGGCCCAGACTCCCAGAGGGGAAGAGTCAAAGCCATGACTTTGGGACCCCCCCCAAGTCCTTGAACCTGAGGAGCTTCCCTGGGGGGGGGGGGTTAAATGTACAATAAGGGCTTTAAATGCCCAGAGGAGACCAAAGGGGTGATGGGAAGGAATGAGGGTCAGAGCTCTGTTTTAGGAACAGCCATCCGGCCCCTGAGGACTCTGAAACAGGAAAAAACAAGAAGAAACACCGGAGAAAACTGGTCTCTGAGGGACAGGGAAGCTCTAGAGGAGTTTCACACACAAGGACAAGAAGGCAGCATTCAGAGGCCTGAAGAGCCACCTGAACATCGGCACAGACATCATCACCCCCATTTCACAGGCGATAAAACTGAAGTTCAGAGAGCTTCAGAGACTTGCCTGGGGTCAGGCAGCTGCCCTTACCAGCTGGTAAGAGGCCAGTTGGCTCTGAACCTGCTGTTTTCCCTTCAGCCTCTAGACCGTGGGGAACAGGGGTCCTGGACAATGAGCTGGGCGGCCAGTGGGCCGGATGGCCTTGGAACACTGCTCAGTTCTTTGAATGACTCCAAACTTCTCCCTGAAACCAAGGCCCATCTCTTACAAAGATGGGGTCATGGGCAGGCCTGGCCTCCAAACACTCCACACTGAGGCTGGCCCTGAAGGCCACAGAGACATGCAGCCCCGGGGCACAAGCCCAGAACCCCTGAGGCCGGGGCATCCCACCAGGTGAACGTATTAAGTCTGGCACCAATCTGGGGAGCGCTCAAAAGTGGGGGGTGATTGGGCTGAACCTTCTGTGCCAATCAGCAACGGCACTGGGCCCCGAATGACCACTCGGCCTCCAGCCTGGATGGCACTGGAAAGCCCAGTCTCCACAAAAGGGGGGGGGGACAAGAGACAAAGAGGAAAGGGGGAGGGGGTCACAGCATCAAGGATTGCCTCTGCATGCAGAGCTGGAGAGGGTGGCAAGTGAGGAATAACCAGCGGACAGACAGCCCATGTGCCCCGCTGGCACCCGGGAAGACCCCCAATGCCGAGTTTTCCCATCAGCCTCTCCCTGCCCAGACTCCATCGGCGTGGTGGCCCACCTCCCCCCTTTCCACTCAGCAGTCCCCACCTTGGATGCGAGGGGAGTCATCTACGACTCTGTTCCTTAGGAGCCAGAGGTCCTCGGGACCCCCAGCGCTCAGCACAGTACTTGGCACATCTTGGACATTCTAATTCACTCACCTCAGATGCCCTGCCCTCCCAGGGGAGCCCAGACAACCTCAGAGGACAGACCAGGCCTGGACCGGCCACTGCTGACAAGTCTGGAAAGAGCGCCATGTTGATGAGAGGAGGCTGGGCCTCAGAGAAACATGAACAAAGGAGCCAGGGGAGCCTCAAGGCACTTGTTGGCCTGACACGTGGGAAAGGAAACAATTCCAGGCAGGGTCTAAAGCTAATCTTTCCCTTTCCTGTGTCTGTCAGCCAGTCAACAAACATTAAGCCCCTACTATGCGTCAGGCACCACACTAACTCAGTGGGTGACAAATATGGAAAAGGAAGTCAGTCCCTGCCCTTATAGAGATTACAGTCTAACAGGGAAGAGGACACAAAAAAGGGAGCAGAAAGGGGATGGGGAGAAGGGGCCCAATGGAAAAGTCCTAGGGAGCGTAGCCAAGCAGGATGTGGACAGCTGGCAGGTGTGGGCAGAGGACCCCTTTCTCTGCCCTCCAATCCGAGGGTGCTGATGAAGTAAGCGTCCCAAGGCCGGGTCAAAGCCTCGGCACTGAGGCCCCTTATGCATCCTAACACAGACAAACATTTATTATGCACCTACTGTGCCACCATATTATTAAGCATCAACTCTGCACCAGCACTGAGCTGAGCATTTCCAAAGCAGGCTTTGCCCTTGGGGGAGGAGTGGTGGGGGTGGGGGGGGAGGTCCAAGACAAATACTGAATCCCTGGTTTACATCCCATTGGGGAAACTAAGTGTGAAACATCCACTATGGAAAATCCCTCCACTGCCTATCTTGGGGGTAGGGAGGGGTAAGCCACCAGCCCCAGGCAGGATTTGAATCCAGATCTTTCTAACTCCAAGGTCGGCCCTCCATCCACTAGGCCAGAGGCGTCAAACAGACAAGGGTCATGTGGGGCCAGGCCCACAACATTCCTAAGTGTGGGCCCAAACCAAATAAAAATGTACTTCCTTTCTGATTTTAATGTGTTGATGTATTAATAAAAAAAAAAAGAAATTTATAAACATGTGGTTTTCTAAATCAACATGTGGTCTGCAGAGATTGGTGTTTCTATCTGAGCCTGACCCCCTGCCAGGCCACGCAGCCTTCCCCATCGCAGTTCAGCCTCACCAGGCGCGGGCCTACAGAGGACCCACGGGGCCTGACAAGTGAAAGGGGAATCTACTCAACGAGATGCTTATTGGGGGATCCAGAGCGCCTTACTTCAGAGAGACAGATAAAGAATTCTTTATAAACCAAGAGGGGGAAACTCACTGCTCTGGGCACTCGGACATGTTTTCATATTGGATTTCAGAAGAAACATCCCTGAATCCAGTCCCACCGCTCTGTGGGATGCCAGCCTCCTCATGCCTGCACAACACGGGCCCTGGCCGGCTCTGCCAGCTGAGATGTTCTCATTTCTTCTGGGCCTGACTAAAGTTCCCTTCATCTCTTCCAAGACGCTTCCTTACTTAGGGAGTTCACTCTCCAATCTATCTAAGAATCTTCTATAAACTCTTATGTATGTGTATCGGTGTTATAGGGGCAAAATTTATATATATATGTACATACACACATACACACTCAGGAGCATATTTATACATACTGAATATATATATATAACTGAATCTCAATTCACTTTCGGAAGGCCAGGAGCCTATTTGTTTAATAAATGTTTCCTCTTCAACAGAAGCATTTAAAAGCCTTCAGTCTTTTGACTGGGCCCCCCATGATCCCCCATGATGATATGGGCCCTGAAAGAAAATGTCAACTCACACCTGTCCAAGCCCATGGGGAGGCCAGGAGCTGGCCTGGCCAACTGGAATCCAAAGTCCCCCAATCGCACCATGGGCAGCGATTCTGAGGATGCAATCTCTCACCCGAGTGGCTAAGAAGGGGCTGGGTTGGGTTGTTCCTTGTGGGCCTCCCTTTGGAGACAAACAGTTCTCCAACTCCTGGGGTCTGTGGACCGCTCCGGGGCTGCAGAACACACACCCTGAAGGGCCACCCATTCCATTCTTCCTCACAAAACCCTCAGAATGTTCCTTCCCTCCTTGCCAGGATCTCTCAGCTGTCAGGGATGACACACCCACAAGTGGTCCTCTAGAAGAGCCACCATGTCTGAAGGCAGCCCCCTTTTCAGGCTCGCATCCAAATCTCGGCTCATCTCCTCTCTCTCTCTGATTGCTCCCACTTCTTAGTTCTGGCCTCTGGGGCCAAGAGAGGTCTGTACTCTTTCCCGTGACAGCTGTTCAAACACTACTCTGCTGTCTTTTCCGCCCTGGCCCCAGGCCCACCACCCACTCCTCTCCCTCCCCTTCCCCCGAGGGATCCGGCAGGATCTCTGGTCACTTCCTTCTGGAAGGGCTAGCTCGCTCAGAATTATACCTTGTGTGCCAGATGGGGTGTGTCCAGGGCACAGGACAAGGGGATCATCATTGTCTTTCAGCAACACTTTCAAAGCCCTTAACAAGATTAGGCTGTACATGTTTATGCACAGTACTGGGTGCTTGCCCCAGAGGAGATCCCTAATTAGGACTCGGGGAATGACTAGCAAAGAAAGGTCAACTCCCAGTTTTAGGAAGTACCTCTGGCGGGCAAGGAGGAGGTGTCAGAGGATGGCCCAGGTTCCTAAGGGGTAGACCTGGGGGAGCGAGGTCATTCTGAAGGCAGAAGGCAGCCAAAGAGCCAGGACACAGAGCCAGGGAAGGACAGGAGTGGCTGGAACATGGCATGCATGAAGGGAGAGATGGCGAGATAAAGATGAAAGGAAAGATCCTTGGATTCCAGACACCAGGCAGGAGGGGGCCAGGGACACCCCCAGCCCAACCTCCTTGTTTTACAGAAGAGGAAACCGAGGTCCAGGGAATGACTGGTAGCTAAATTCATTTGTGTTTCATTGCACTGAGGAGAATGCCAGGCACAGAACCAAATTCACAGGGCAAGGAGGAGGTCTGGAGGAAACGCACGGCACCATCTAGCCTGTGCAGAAGGATGCTCAAACCAGCAGCAGCAGGGAGGCCGGGAGCCCTCAGCACAAAGGACTATCCCTGCTCCGGACAAGCCTCCGAGGAGGGGTGGCGTAGCGACCGGTCCATACCCTCTGGCCAGGACTGCCCTGGCCCGCCCTCAGAGCCCTCCTGGTGCCCACAGGCTGCGGCTTCAGATCCACGGGGAGTCACACAAAGGGCGCACCAAGGCTGCAGGCAGGCAGACCCGCGGGCAGAGAGCGAGTGTGCACCTCCCTGGCTGTCTCTGCCAGA